TGGAACCCCGCTCAGTGCCTCTGCTCAGGGCCTGCCCTGGCCTCTGGCTCCTCCCGGCCCTCCCACACGCTGAGCCTCCTGCCGGAGATGCTCTCCCTTTCCTCTCCTCACTTCTTCCAGAAGGCCTCCTCTGACCCTGCAGACCACGGCTCTGTTTCCTTTCTGTCCACTGGGTGCCCCGTGATTGTCTGCCTCACTTCCTGCCTCTGCCCCTGATTTGATAGTACGTTCCCTGGTACCGCGGGGCCTGCAACGCAGTGTTCTCAACAAAGCTCTGCGAACTAAATGACCTGGTCAAAGTGGGTGTCCAGGGGAGGGGCAGGGAGTAGACTGGGCTGGTTTTTCCCTCCTCTGGTCCTTCCCCAGCCTCGTTAACCCTCTCATCAGGAAATAAGTAGGTTCAATACATCATCATCATAACGGCTAGGACTCATCAAACCGTTAGGAAGTACTAGTCAAATATACCATTACCCCCACTTCACAGATCGAGAGACTGAGACTCTCAGGTGATCTGCCAGGTCACCCGGTTAGCTGGTGGCAGAGCTGTGACTGGGACGCTGTGCTAGGCCCGCACTGCGAACCACCACTTGCTGAGGGGGTGGCGGTCAAGCCTCACCTGCACTCCTCGCTGTTCCAGGTGTTGGATCAGACTCTTCCTCATGATTAACCTGGTGGGGAAGGGGTTGGCAGAGGCCATGATGAGAGGGGAGGAAGCAGGGTAGTGGGAAGTCTCCATGGGCACACGCCACCCAGCAATCTTGCCCGCTCACCATTTGGAAACCACAGCTGCCAGCTTGTTCAGCCCAGAGCAGGAAAATGGGAAGTAGGTCCTGCAGAGAGGTGGTGGCATGGTCAGTCCCCTGCGTCTCACTCTGTCGCAGGGGTGGGGTGGTAGTGACTCCTGACCAGTGTCATCCTGGCCCCTCTAGAAGAATCTTTGCAGTTGCCCAGATGAACAAGTCCCCTGTCGTTCCGTGAGAGTCTACTCCCACATCCGTGCCTCCATACTCGGAGAGTGGGCCCCCCCGCCGCCCCGCCGTTTTACAGAAGAGGAAACTCAGTTTGGGAGAGCCGAAGTGACCTGCCCAAGGTGTCACAGCACATCTGTGGTGGGGCCAGGGCCGAGACCAGAACCCAGCTTGATTGTCAAGCTGGACACATAATCTGAAGGTCCCATGGTTGGGCCCGACCTGCCTCCTGAGGCCGGACAAGGCTCAACGGGTCTGCTACTTGCCCTGATTGCCCCACTTCAGGGATGACTTTGGAGGCCCTTTATAATGTCCCAGCGCAGGCTCTGGAGTCAGACCCAGGCAAACTTGGGCCTGCACTTCTAGCTGTGTGGCCTGGGGCAAATTCCAGGGCCTCTCTGAGCCTCAGATTCTCCATGGGTACTGTGGGGGTCACGATTCCTGTAACTTCTGGGTTGCTGCAAGGTAAAGCCCTAATCAACTAAAGGATGTGAAGACACTTTGCAAACCCTGTATAAAAAGTTATGTACAGGGGCGCCTGGGTGGCTCAGACGGTTAAGCGTCTGCCTTCGGCTAAGGTCATGATCCCGGGGTCCTGGGATCGAGCCCCGCATCGGGCTCCCTGCTCAGCGGGGAGTCTGCTTCTCCCTCTCCCTCTGCCTGCCACTCCCCCTGCTTGTACTCACTCACTCTCTAAAAAAAAAAAAAAAAAAGTTATGTATGCAAAGTTCTGTAGTCTAATGATATCTTTGTAGCAAGGGATTGTGGGGGCTGGCTGGGAGCCTCCCTCGGGACACCAGCGGGGAGAAGAAAGCGCTGGAGCTGCCAGAGTTCTCAGAAAGCGAAGGGAGGGGCCGGGCTTAAGAGCTGGCGAAGTATCCAGATTCCTGATACTTTACCCAGCTGTTACTTTGTTAATCCTGGTCTCCCAGCAGGAGAAAGCTTGCTTTTCCTTTTGAGAATCAGAGAATGATACTATAATTGATTAATATTTGTCTCCCAGCCAGACTGTGAACTCACGGGGGCCTTACCCCACCCACATCTTATTTACTAGTATAACTGCACCTGGAACAGAGTAGTCACTCAATAAATGTTTGTTGGATGAATGGATGAATAAATGAATAAAATGAATACTTTGTCCTAAAACTCCATCCACATCAACACACATCTGCATAGAGTTTCAAGGGGTTTGTGGCCCCCCCCCCATGGCATTCATGAATGCTCGCTGAGAACCAGTGTCTTCAGAGGACCCTGGGGGTTATCCTTGAGGATGGCCAGGGAGCTGGGGACCCTGCATCATGGGGCTTGAGGTGGGGGGGGTCTTTATCTGAGGACAGAAGCATCTGGGGGACCGGGGGAGGATGCAGAAGGGAAACAGGGACGCTGTGAGTACCTGTTGATGGTGGTGGGCAGGAAGCAGATGAAAAACCTCTCGGGGATGTGGACAAAGGGCAGCAACCCCACATAATAGAGCAGCACCAACCACAATCCTCGGCTTATCGTGAAGGCGAATGGCATCTCGGGGTTCTGGGAGGCAAGGGGAAGTGAGAAGGGGGTCAGTCTGCTTCTGGGAAAGCAGAGAGGAGCCTCAGGCTGCAGGGGGAATAGTGCTGGACATAGAGGAAGCGCTACCACCTCAGTATCAAAGCTGTGATCTTGGCCCAGTGTTTAGGCCTAACTGCACCCCACTCCCCGCCGCCCAGTTCCCACCAGCACGCCTTTGCTCACACTTTCCCCGGTTCCCACCAGCACGCTGCCTTTGCTCACACTTTCCCCGGTTCCCATCGGCACACCTTTGCTCACACTTTCCCCAGCACCTCTCCTCTCCAAATCCTCCCCTTTGAGACCCTGCTCGGGGCCAGTTCCTCCACGACCCCCCAGACCTGTCCAGCCTCGGCCCCTAGAGCCTCCAGCTCCTGGGAGGAGGGGCCGCTGGACCAGGGAAGGCACCCGGACTCACGGCAGCCCTGCACTTCTTCATGATTGAGCTCTTCTCTGAGGCCCAGATGGTGATTTCATTGCGGTCAAAGTGCCTCACCAGGCCTGCTACCTGGAGGAGGAGGAGGGGGAGGAGATGAAGGGGGGCGTCAGGCCTCTCTCCAGCCCCAGGCCCCCGGCCACCCTTGCCCGTAGTCCCACCTTGTTAATGAGCTCTTCGTTTACTGATTTGACCTCCACACTCACGGGCATCCGAGGGAACCTCCGGAACACGTCCTCCAGGCTCACCATGCGCCGGTCTGTCCCGTGTGCAAAGTGGCCTGGGTGGATTGTGCAAGAGGGATCAGAGGAGTATGGATGGGGTGGGGTGGGAACCCAGCGGGGGGAGGGGGGAACAGAGTCCCAGAGGAGAAGAGAGGGCAGGAGGCTGAGGCCATGACCCCACTCAGTGAGGTCACGCTCTCACCTGGTGAGAAGTAAACCTCCAGCTCCTCTTTGCAGAGGGGCAGCTCCTGGGGAGAAAGGGGGCACGTCACCAGGAAGCACGCGTGGAGGCACGGTGGCTCTCTGGGTACGGTGGGGGGGCCAGGATGAGGCCCACCTCAAAGTCCAGGCTGCTCACATCCCTGTTCACGCCTGACAGGCGAAACAGGTTCTCGTCGTGGGACACCACCACCACGCCATCCCGGGTCAGCCGGCAGTCGAGCTCCAGGAAGTCGGATCGCTGGGCCACGGAGCTATGGGAGTGAAGGTCAGTGCGGGGTTGGGGCGGGGAGGGGGGGCCCAGGGAAAGGGGCAGGCCAGACCACAGAGTGGTGGGGAGGTTGAGGGGGGCGTGGGGCAGAATTCACAGTAGGATGTGCAGGCTCTGCGCTGCACACCTCCAGGAGGCCCCAGGCACTCGAACTAGGAAGGGAGTGGCACCCCCTGGTGTCACACAGTGCACGACTGGGACGACCTCAAGCGGGCAGCTTGGGGTGGCAGGTGCATGCACTCACTTCTCCATGGCCTCCATGGTGTGTTCCAGCCGCTCCCCGGATCCTGTGCGGGGCAGCTGGGTGGGTCCCAGGGGCCTGGCCTTCCCCTTCGCTCCTCACCCCCTGCCTCTTCTTTCCCCTTCCACATCCCCCCCTGCCACCCTGCTCTCCTCCCTCGGGCTCTGCCCTCGAACGGCCTGCCGCCTGGACCTCTCCTGCTGCCGTCCGCCCTGGTACCTCGCGCCCCGACTCCACCCTCCGCAGCCGCCGTCACCATCCTCCCTTTCGGGCGGCCAGCTCACCTGCCCGGTGGGCCCCCAGGCGCGGCAGGAAGGCTGGCGCCCAGGGCGTGTGCAGCAGACGAGGCCGGCGCAGGAAGAAGACGGAGAGCATGACATAGCTGCCCAGGGCAGGCAGGGCATAGTACAGCACGGGGCTCATGGCCACGCTGCCTCTCCGGGGCTCCCGCTGTGTGAGCCCCGACGTTCCTGAGGGACTGTGCGGCCTCTGCTGACAGCCTGGCCGGTGTAGGCTGGTTCTGCCACTGGTCGCCACCACACCCCTGGGACCTGCTGAGCCTGCTCCTGGCCTGGGGCCAGGCTGCAGGGCTCAGCTGGGGATGGGGGAGAGGCAAGAGGAGAGGCTTCCGGCAGCCCTGGCTCTCCCACCTCTGCACCCTTCCCAGACCCCAGCACCCCTGCTCCCCTTGGCCACACTGCGGGAAACAAGCCTGCCACCACCCCCGGGTCGGCTACAACCTCCCCTTCCTCCCGCGGGTGCTTGTGGCTGGGGTATACAACACGCCACCCTGAGCCATTTCCAGAGAATCCAGGGGTGTGGAGGATGCCCCTGAGTCAGCCCCGAAACACCCCCAGCCAGTTCGACGGGAAGCCATTAGGGAGGGGAGAGGACAGTGACTAAGGGGAAAATTGACCCCACTGTGTCTAGGAGTCTGGCGCTCCTGACAATCCCATCTTCAGCCCTGGCCAGCTGGGGAGCCAGAGGTCACCAGGACTGGGTAAAGCCACACAGCTGGGAAGTGGCTGGGCGGGTGCGTCGGTCCTCAAAGCCACGGTTAGGGTGGGGGCGTCGGCGGACACAGACAGAACCAGGGCCATCATATACACATCTCTATATTTATATATTAGATACAGGCACAGGGTGGGTGGGGGCACCAGGCTCTCCTCGTGCCCCCCACTCCACTTCTGTTCACCCACATACAGAGGCAGCAGGGGTGTTAGACGTGGCAGCTTTGGGGGAGGGGGCTTAGGTCTGGGCCCTGCTCCTCAGGGGTACTAGCCCTTGGGCCTTAGGAAAATTCCTTTCAGGGAAAATGGGGTGGGGTTTTAATGGGTCAGGGCTTGCCCCGAGTCCCTACTCAGGATCCCGCATCCCCCCACTGCCCTTCAGTAGGTCCCGGGGCAGCCAGGGCCCTTCCATTCCAGAACTACCAGAGACTGGGATAGCTGGGGTAGACGAAGGCAAGCAGCAGAGGGCAATTTGCTTTGGGGCCACCCAAGCCCCTCGGGTCCTGGGAGGGGAGGCGGGGCGGAGGGAGCCTTGGCCTGCTGGATCAGGAGGCCAGAGCGAAGCCGGGGAGGGTGGCCAGGCGCGCCCTCTGCCCTGCCGGGGGCCGCCGGGGGATTCTGGGCGGGGCGCAGTGTCCATTTCCTAACAGTCCGGCAGGGGAGGGGCAGGCAGGAGGCAGGGCCTAAACAAAAGGGCAGGCGGAAAGGCACCATTAGCACCCACCAGAGGACCTGCCAGAGCCCTGACCTCCATCTCCCTCATCTCATCCTCACGGCTGCCGGGGATGGGCCTTGTCCTCCCTAACTGTACGGGCGGGGAGCCCCAGTGCCTATCTCAGGGTCCAGCTGGAGGGCGGAATGAGTTAATGCGCATGAAGCCCTAAGAACAGTACTTAGGGCTCTGTGTTTGCTCTTGTCCTCAGGGCTCTCCCCGGGAAACTGAGGCACAGAGAGCTGAGGGGTCTTGCACAATGTCGCACGGCTCTTACTAAGTGTCAGGGCTGGAGCTGGAGCGCAGGTGTGTCTGCCTTCCTTCCGTCGGGCTGCAGCTGGCCGGGAGGACGGAAAAGAGACTCGAGGAAGGACAGCTGTGTGGGCGGGTGTGCGAACCACTGACCCGGGCACCAGGTGGGAGGGGACTTGGCATCTGGGTCAGGCTGGGGACTGCTGGCTCCTCCCAAAGCAATTACTGCCCCACCTGCCTCTCTGCCCACATCGGGGAGCCAAAACCTGGCTCTGGTCCTCAGATGAGGGAGAGGGGCCCTCAGGGCCCTCTGGCCACGGGGACCGGAGGGTGCAGGGGTGCAGGGTGTTGCCAGGTGGGAGACCTTCGGGGCTGGGGGAGAGGAAACGGATGTGAAGGACTGGTGGCCCACAGGTCCATGGCCTGGGCAGGCTCCAGCCCTTCTGTTGCCGCCATGCAGCTGCCTCGTGGGCGTGAACAAGCCTGTGACTGTATGGAGGTGTGCTGGGCACACTGGTATCGGGGTGAATCTGTGTGTGGGCAGTGGGGAGCACTCACCAGGCCCCAAGGAACAGAGGTGTCTGTCCAGATTAGGGGGCCTCCAGTGCCCCAGGCTGGAAGCGGGCTGTCTCCTGGAAGATGAGCTCCTTCAGCCGTTCCTTGGGTAGATCATCCAGCTCCATGTCGAAGGTGAAAGGCTCCTCAGCCACTGGCTGGGGTGGCAAAGAAATCAGGCTCAGGCCGGGTACGAGGGACGCCTACCCGTCACCTACCCGCCACCTACCCGCCAGCCCCGCTGCTGGTGGCTGGCCCACCTCATCTGTTGGGTCGTAGTACTGCTCCAAGTAGGGGTGAGCCAGTGCTTCTTCCACTGTGATCCGTTTGTTGGGGTTAAAGGTCAACATCCGGTCTAGCAGGTCAAGGGCTAGGTAAGGGCAGGAGTAAGGGGTCAAAGAGAAGGCTGGAGGAGCTCCCAGAAGCATCGCTTTGCTTCTCGTGCCCAGGGTCCTGTCTATTCAGGCAGCTGCTTGGCTCATGTACCCTCCTCTGCACCGAGTTTTTATCCGGTATCGGCCCCCATGTCTCTCTCACCTTTGGAGTCTGACTTGGGAAAAAGCTTGGCCCAGGCCACCTTGGTCTTGGAGGGCAGAGACTGCAGGTAGTTTCGGGCCTTCATGTTGATGATACAATTCAAGTCCTCCTGGGATGGAGAGCCCAGGATACCTGTGGGTAAGGCAGGTGCCTTGGTGAGAGTGCTCCTCTCCCTTCTGGGAACAGAAGGAACCCAAAACAAGAGTCCCCACCAATGAGCTCCAAGCCCTGACAGTTATCTACCAGCCAATACTATGGTGATGACGGGCAAGGGATCTAGATGTGGGCAGCCACAGGTTCAAATCCTGATGTGAGTACTTCCCAAGTGTGGGGTGTAGCCTTGGCTTCTCCCATCTCTCCAGTGAAGACTGTGTCTATATCTCATTGAAATACCATGAGATGCTGCAGGGACTCCACACATGGTGGTACCCTCGCTATAAAGAAACCTCACCTCCCACTAGTCTCCCTCCCACTTAGCGGGCCAGGCCCCCTCACCCAGAATGTGGTTGAGCTGGTCCAGGTAGTGCTTGCCAGGGAAGATGGGCCGGTTGGAGAGCATCTCAGCCAGAATGCAGCCCACAGACCAGATGTCGATGGACTTGGTGTAGCCCTGGGGAGGAGGAGAAAGCAGTGGGCTCCTGGGCCAGCCTCAACAGGGCCCTGCCGTCTGGGCCAAACCACGACTCCAATCTAGACTGGATACCAGCAGGGAGGAAGAGGGCAGAGGCCTGGAGGACCTAATGCTCAGCCTCCTCCCAGAGCCTAAAAACCGGAGTCATGTGACAAGGCCTGGAGGCAGACGTCCTGGATCATGGGGGTCATGCCTGGCTCAGAGGTAGCTCCAGGGCTTTCTGGGACTTGGCCCCTTCCCTTCAGGGGTGGGTGGCCCCCCTACCTTAGAGTTAAGCATGATTTCTGGAGCCCGGTACCAGCGTGTGGCCACATATTCTGTCAGGAAGCCAGTGTGGTCATGCTCAGGATCGGCAATCCGGGCCAGGCCAAAATCGCAGATCTGGAAGCCAACCCAGGCCGCTAAGCTCGCTGCTCCAGGCCCAATGCCCGAGCAGTCATATCGCCATGCCACTGCCCACACTGTTCCCTTTGCTTGTGAGGTTCTACTCAAGGGGGCTACTGGTCACCTAGAAGCCCCAGACCTGTGGGAGGAGGGGATGGGCACCCAATCCTCTGACCTTAAGGTCGCAGGTGGTGTTGATGAGCAGGTTAGAGGGCTTTAAATCCCGGTGGAGCACGTTGGCTGAGTGGATATACTTGAGGCCCCGCAAGATCTGGTAGAGGAAGTAGCAAACATGGTCGTTGCTCAGCTGCTGGCTTTTCAGCAACTTGTAGAGGTCTGTCTCCATCAGGTCCTGCACGATGTAGCTGAGGATGGCACCGGAGACCCCCCGGGCGGGGGCGGCAGGGGGCACTTGGTTAAGAAGAACAGGCTCTGGTGGCTGGGCTTCCCGTCCCCTTCCAGCCAGTGGCCCTAAGACTCAGAACATCTGCCAACCCATCTCATGAGCTGCACAAGGCCCAGACTCAGCAGGCGGGCTCAGGGCCTCTGCTGCATCTCAGCAGGCGGTCCTGAACAGAAGTACTTCAATTCTGTGGCCTCAGTTTCCCTACTGGGAAAGCAGGGATAATAAACTGCAGGAGGCAAGAGAGCTTCCCAGTGAAAAGCAATAGCTCTGGGGTTTAGTCTGCTGGTGTCTGAACCCCCCCCCCCACTCCACTGCTCATTGGCCTTATGACCTCAACCCATCTGCACCTCCATTTCCTCCTGTGCAAAGTAGGGGAAAGAGTGGTTCTGTAGAGAGTAGTCACGAAGATTCAGTGAGATGACCCGCGTAAATCAGCCAGCCCAGCCCAGAGCTTGGCACGTTGTAAGTGCTCAGCAAACATGAATACTGTTGCTATTATAAATGCCTGAGCCACATGGCTGCTGAGAGGGTTAAATGAGATAGTGCGAACACCATCTGGTGTGCAATAAATGTTTGCTTAAAAATAAATGCCTGCCTTATGGGAATGGTTTGGGCAAGACAAATTAGGAGACGCTCCCAACAGCACGCTCCTCCTCAAAGAGTGCTTGGCCATACATCAGAGGATAGAGTAAATGTCCTTTTGTATTTTAAGAGAAAACAAAGATTAAACATACGTTAAGTAAATAAATAAATAAATAAATAAATGCCATTTGGTGGGTCTCTGAAAGAATAAGTCAGGACTGTCTTTTAGGAATCAGCCTCAAAAGGGCCTTCTGAAGACATCTGGACCAATCCTGCTGTTTTAGAGGTGAGGCCCACCCAGCAAGACGCAGTGACTTGCTTAAGGTCACACGGCGAGCTGGGGGTGAGTGTGGAGATTTCCTGCCCACAGCTTGTGGTGGGGGCTGCAGACAGTGCAGCACAAATCCCCACGTCTGGGTGGAGAACTGGGACTGCCTGGGGGAGGGTGGGGTGGGGAGAGGTGATGGGTGCTATAAGCCACTACCCACAGGGCGTAGGCAGGAAGTGGATGGCAAGCTCGGGAAGCAATGTGGGGTGCCGGGGTAGGGGGAAGAGGGCAACAAAAGCAAGGCTGTCCCTCCCTGGGCAAAGTGCAAGTCCACAGGTGACTGGGGTGAGGCTCTGAGCAGGAAGTGCCAGAGAAGGGACATCTGGGGGAGGGTAGGAGGAGGTAGCAAGAGCCGCGCCTGATTTTAGGCTTTCTGAGCCTCAGTCTCCTCATCTTTGAAATGGAGCTGGGGAGACCCATCTCCTACAGCAGCTGGGAGGGAGAATAAGAAAGGCCAAAGCGGCCCGCCTCGGGCACCCTGCTGGGTGGGAAGCCTGCTTCTCCCTCTCCCACTCCCCCTGCTTGTGTTCCCTCTCTTGCTGTGTCTCTCTGTCAAATAAATAAATAAAATCTTAAAAAAAAAAAAAAAAAAAAAGGAAATGCCAAAGCACTTGGCATGCACTGCGTCTCACTCATAGTAGGCCCTCAAAAACGGGCAGTTTTCTTCCTCTCTGCCTTCCTGACAGTCTGGGGACCGAGAGAGGAAAGAATCATCGTCTGTTAAACAAGAACTGACTGTGGGCAGAGGCTGGGTCATGTCACAGAACTGCAGATGTCAAAAGACAAAGCTCTCATAGAGCCCAACCCTCCCCCCACCCCAATGAGGCACAGCACGGAGAACAGACTCGCCCAAGGCCACATAGCCTGGCTGCAGCAGGCCAGGATTCACCTCAGGCCTCCCAGCCCTCTTACACCCTGTGGTCTCTTTTCTGCTGGAAAGTTTCATTTACTGGGTTTGTTTTGGAGTGTGGCAGGGAAGAAGGAAACAGAAAGCAAGCCAGCGTTCTCCCAGCCCAGCTCTGAGGCCGGGCCTGGCCAGCCATCTGGCCAAGGTGAAGGATACACATCCCTCATGGCTTCCAGGGTGGGTGCCCGCAGAATGTCCCGAATGCCAATGACGTTCTCGTGGCGGAAGCGCAGCAAGATCTGGATCTCGCGCAGTGTGCGCTGGCAGTAGGTCTGATGCTCGAAGGGGCTGATTTTCTTGATGGCCACGCGAATCTTGCGCACGTGGTCGTAAGCGGAGCTGAGAGGGCCAGAGAGGTATTTGTTGGTGTGGCCTTACAGAGGGGGAGTCCAGGCCTGGTGGCCCCACCCAGGCCTGAGCAGGGAGGGGAGGGAGCAGGAGAGGACTCTGGCCAAGTCATAAACAATGCTGGTTCCTTCCTGCTGTGAAGGCCTGGGATCTCCAGGGAGAAAGCTGGGGACCGGCCAGGCAGCCCTTCAGTGACTTCACAAACAGAGGAAGAGACTGACCGCTCACTGACTTCCCCTCTCCTCAACCCTGTCCATTCTAGTTGCCCTGACCTCTCATCCTCCCCTCTCCAGGATGGGCTCCCTCAACCCAAGACAGGTCCGAGGAGTGGGCGGTGAGTGGAGGCCGGGCAGTGAGGCAGATACATTGAGGAGGGAGTGAGGAGGGACGGGAAAGAAGGGATGAGGAGGGCACCTGTGTTAGGGCGAGGCGCCTGGGCGGGAGAGCTGTTCCCAGATGAACAAAGGCCTAGAGCACACAGTGGGGATGAGAGAGCTCACAGACCCCTCCTCAAAGTTGCAAGGACACACTCCTGGACCCCTCGTGGCTCACTGGGCCCCTGGCCCCAGGCCCAAAGCCCTGCCCCACCCTGCCCAGCCCTGAGCTCTGCTCTGCTCTCCCAAACTCCTTGGCAGGCCTCGCTGGGAAAATCCAAGGCATCCTCTCCCCAGAGGAGGGTCCTTCACTCGGTCCTCACTAAGGATATCACCTCCCTAAGAATACTTAGTGTCTCCGCCTCATCCCGTGTCCCTAGGGTCCCCAAGGGCCCCACAGCTCCCCCGCATACACTCAGATGTCCCTCCCCTCATTACGGAATGGTCGCTTCTAGGGCCTCCAAGCCCCCTCCCCTTAGAACGTACGAGGAGGCGCCGCTCCCCGAGAAAGCACCCCAAGGCCCCCTCCGTGGGACGCCCCCCTGCCTCGTGAAGCCCCCGCCTCCTCAGGACACTGGGACTCGCCCCGGCCCAGAAGGCACTCATCGTTCCTCCCGGGCCCCCACCCCACGAGCCCCCTCCCCCGGAACGCCCCCTCACCTGACCATGCCGTACGCGCCCTCGCCGATGTAATGCAGCTCCGTGTAGCGGGGGCCCACGTCGAACGGCTGCCCCTTCACTACCTCCACCTCCCCCGAGACCCCCGGGCCGACCCCATCAGCTCCCCGGGGCTCCCCGCCCCCGCCCCCCTGAGCCGCCGCCGCCGCCATCTCCACTCCTCCCCTCCGGCCCGCCCGCCCGCCTCCCCCCGGCGGCCCCGCCCGAGGCCCCGCCCCTTCCCGCCCGCCCCGCCACCAGCGGAGCGGTGCGCGCCAGGCCCCGCCCCCGCGCGCCCCCGCGCGCCCCCGCGCCCCGCCACGTGACCTGCGCCCGCGCGCGCCCGGTTCACGCTCTGCTGCTGCCGCCGTGGTCCCCGGCCCCCGCCCGCTCCGCTTGCTCCAGGCAGCCTAGGGGCTCCCGGGGCGATCGGGAGACGGTCCACACCCTCCCGTCGAATGCAGAGCAGCCGGCAGGGCCGCCCGGTGACCTTCCCCAGAGCCACCCAGCAAGTGTGTGCGGGAGCTGGGACCGGGACAGAGTCGCTTGGCGTCCCCACCCCCCAGCTCTGCTGCGGCCCGAGTTGTGGCCCGGGGCTCGAGATGGAACCCCAAGGGAACCCTCACCAGCCCTCTGGAGTGTGGCCTCCCTGAGCCAGGCCCGGCCCGATGATAAAGCGGTCCCATCCGTATTTCCCAATAGCGTGGGAGATGGCTTCTTCACAGATGTGGCCTGCCTTTCACAGATGAGGCCACTGAATGAAGCCTGAGCTGGGGCTGGTGACTTAGAGCTGGAGAACCCACAGGTGCAGACTCCCAGCCTGCTGGCTTTCTGACAGAGACCTGCAAGACTGGGCTAGGGACTTGGCCTCTGCCAGCAACCCGACAGTGCCGGAAGTGAGGACAGATAACCTCAGCCCACTTTCCGTGGAACTGCAGCAGAAAGGCCGGGAAGCTGCCTGCAGTGTTGATTAGGTTTGGCTAAAATACACTATCAGGCTTTTCTCAAAAACAGCAAAATAGGTAACGTGTTTGTCGTCGCGGACCTGGCAAAACTGGAATCCTGACAAGATCATCATCTTTTGATTGGGTACTAGACTTTGTAGTTTACACCATACTTGGACCAGCTGAGTTTCTTCCCTAGGACAACCCCACATTATAGGTGTCATCTGATTTTCTTAGCAGGATGAGCAGGGGCCACATCTGTCTTACTGTATCTCCCCCCCACCCCCCACCCCTCGGGGCCTGGCACTCAGACATTCAGATTTTTGACTGGATGAATCAAGTTTTACAGACGGGGAATCTGAATTGGGGAGTTGAGACTCAAAATGGTATCTTCTGACACAGAGGCAGAGGCTCTTTTTAATTCCATTCAATCTCCCAGAATCACAGACTGTTAACACCGAGGAAAGGGCCCTCGGAGGCCATCCAGTCCATCCCCCTCACTTCACAGAGAAGCTGTGAGCTGGAAGCTTCACAAAACACATCTCCTAGGCTTCAGTAATAATCACGTTGTTGGTTTTTTGTGTTTTGTTTTATTTTGTTCTTTAAATCCCTTAGAAGCTGGGAGTAGATCCTTATATGCATTACAGATCAGGAGACCAAATGGAACAGTAATTATGATTCTGAAATTGCTCATAATTAGATCTACAGTCAGGCACTCTAATTTAGATTAATGAGACCAAGTTGCTGGTTCCCAATAGCCTACAAGTCAGTGAAGGTTTAAAAAGATGCTAATTAGATAAATGTTTCGGGTTTTTTGTTTTGTTTTGTCTTCATTTTGTTTTTAGTTATTCATTTGATAAGCTATTGAGTAGCATTGTGTGCAAAGCTCTGAGCTGGGCACTGTGGCTGATGAAAGCCTACTATATGGTTGTGAATTAGTGGTTAAGGGCAAGAACTCTCTGGATTTCCTGGGTTAGAATCCCATCTTTACCACTTACTCGCTCTGTTACCCTGGACAGATTATCCTCTGGTCTCTCTACCCATGGAGTTTCTAATCTATTGAAGAGAAAAGGTGCACATACATAAATCAATGTAATACAAGATAGATGGATGTCATATGTGGTGTGTGAGCTCAGGGCTGGTGAGATCACTCTTTTTTAGAGAAGCACGGAGGGAGTTAAGGAGGAGATAGCATTTGCATGATGGAAAAAGAAGTAGGGTTTGGGAAGGTCGGCATAGAGGGAAGGTATCAAGAAGGAGGAGCAGCGTGAGTCCCTGGCATGGAGGCAGAGCCTGATTTGTCCAGTATAAAGGATTAAAGGGAGTTCAGGCTGGAGAGGCAGCTTGGGGCTTCCATTCAGGCAGGGAGTTTGCAAGTTACGCAGTAAGCAGTAAAAGCCTTTGAGGGACTTTCGCCAGATCATTTTGCAACTGTGGGAGAATATAATGACTCAGAGAAAGCACCATGGAGTTCAGCATGGAGCCGGGTTTTCTGAGCGGACCGGGTTCCCTGGCAAAGGAAAGGCCGGTGCATCGGGAGTGGTGGCTGCCCCATCAAGCTGCTGCTGTCTGTTTCAGAGGAGTGTGACTCAGACTCCCCTCTAGTGGCTGAGGCTGGTACTTCCTTGGGATTTTTTAGTCTATTTCAGAGACTGATACTCAACTAATAAAAGCTGAACAGCTATTCTGCACCAGGCACTTTTATGTACTTTGTCTTCCGTCATCCTCACAGCAGCCATATGGGGTAAATACTATGAACGTTTAACAGAAAAAAAAAAAAAAAAAAACCAGAAGCTTACTGAACTACTGAGTTGGAAGGAGCTGTCGGAATCATTTTCTCCATCGGACAGTACATTTCCTCACAGCTCACTGCACTGTTAAGAGTTTTTCTAACGGCTGCCACTGGCTTAGTTCTAGCCTCTGGATCTACCCAGACTAAGGCTTAACCCAATTCTTATCTTTGATGTCAAGGTCACAAGAGAGCCCAGTGGGTAGTTTGCCCAGGGTAACAAGTGAGTAACATCTGAAGAGCACAAGTCAGCATTCCCATTTCAACCACCTCAACCTGTCAGCACAACCCGAGAAGGCAGCAAATGGGTAGGAACAAGGGTCAGAAGGCATTTATAATTTATGGGGGCGCCTGGGTGGCTCAGTCGGTTAAGCGTCTGCCTTCGGCTCAGGTCATGATCCCGGGGTCCTGGGATCGAGCCCTGCATTGGGCTCCCTACTTAGTGGGGAGTCTGCTTCTCCCTCTGCCCCTCCCCCTGCTTGTACTCTCTCTCTCTTAAAAATAAAATCTTTTAAAAAATAATTTATGAAGATTTAAGAACTGACCATTTTTTTAAACCCAAAAAACCTCTGATACAGTTTTTGTTTTGCTTTGTTTTCATCACTTCTTCCTGTCTTAGAGATGAGCTCTACTCAAACATCTCTCCTCTGGCATAACCATTCTGCAGATGACCCCTTCTCTGAAATATTTTATTTATTTTTTTAAAGATTTTATTTATTTATTTGAGAGAGAGAGAAGGAGAGACAGTGAGAGAGTACAAGTGGGGAGGAGAGGGACAAGTGGGCTCCCTGCAGAGCAAGGAGCCCGATGCAGGGCTCGGTCCCAGGACCTTGGGATCATGACCTGAGCTGAAGGCAGACGCTTAACCGACTGAGCCACCCAGGTGCCCCTATTTTATTTCATTTTATTTTATTTTATTTTATTTATTTGAGAGAGAGAACCTGTGCTCAAGGGGGCGGGGGAGTAGGCTCGATCTCACAACCCTGAGATCATGACCCTGAGATCATGACCTGAGCCAAAACCAAGAGTTGGACACTCAACCAACCGACTGAGCCACCCGGGTGTGGTCAGCACTGCCTGCCCCGCTGGACTCCTTTCTCTACAGCGTCACCCTTGGTGATGTCATACTCCAGTGGGATCAACTGTTTCCTTTATGTAAATCTCTGCCCTTAGTTACTGCCTTTCTCCTTGGTTCCAGTTGCAAAGTTTCAGTGTTTTCTGGACAACTTCACCTGGAGGCTCGCAGATGCTTTCACATCCAGTGAAATTTGTCCTTTTTACTTCAAACCTGTTTGTCTTCCAGACTCTACTTGCTGCACTTCCACCACCAGTCTCAGCGTCGGACCCTGTCATGTCAAGTTTGTCTAGCCAACTCCTTGCCATTTTATTTTATTTTTATTTTTTATTTATTTATTTATTTATTTATTTATTTAAAAGATTTTATTTATTTATTTGAGACAGAATGAGAGAGAGAGCTCATGAGAGGGGGGAGGGTCAGAGGGAGAAGCAGCCTCCCCGCTGAGCAGGGAGCCTGATGTGGGACTCGATCCCGGGACTCCAGGATCATGACCTGAGCCGAAGGCAGTCGCTTAACCGACTGAGCTACCCAGGAGCCCCTATTTTTTATTTTTTTAAAAAGATTTTATTTATTTGTCAGAGAGAGAGAGAGAGAGCACAAGCAGAGGGAGGGAGAGGGAGAAGCAGGCTTCCCGCGGAGCAGGGAGCCCGATGCGGGGCTCGATCCCAGGACCCTGGGATCATGACCTGAGCCGAAGGCAGACGCTTAACGACTGAGCCACCCAGGCGTCCCACTCCTTGCCATTTTATTGTCATCATAGTTCCTGAGGCCATCATTGCTACCACGGCTCAAACCCTAATTGCATATTTTAATTTTTTTTCCTTTTTAACATTTTTAGTAATTTCATAATCGATGATAAGTTACCAAAAAGCTGCAAAAATATTTCAAAGAATTTCTGTATACCCCTTCATCAACATTCCCTAAATGTTTTTTTTTTTTAAGATTTTATTTATTTATTTGAGAGAGAGAATGAGAGAGAGAGAGAGAGAGCATGAGATGGGGGAGGGTCAGAGGGAGAAGCAGACTCCCCGCCAAGCAGGGAGCCCGATGCGGGACTTGATCCCAGGACTCCAGGATCATGACCTGAGCCGAAGGCAGTCACTTAACCAACTGAGCCACCCAGGCGCCCCAACATTCCCTAAATGTTAATGTTTTGAATAAACAGTGCAATTATTAAAATCAAGACATTAACATCAGTAGAGTTCACCTATAGTTTTTTTTTTTTTTTTTTTCTTTCAAATTTTGCCAATTGTCCCACGAATCTGGTTCAGGATCCAATTCAGGATCACATGTTGTGTTCAGTTGTTATGATTCCTTCACCTCCTTTAATCTGGAAAATTTTCTTAGTCTTTTTTTTTTTTTTTTGGTCTTTCATGA